TTATAGCGAACTATGTTAGTGCTGGCACTACTGCCTTACCTTTTTCGTATCTAACATAAACACACAGAACACACAAATGTGTTGCCAGTAGAGGTTGGTGTGAAGAAAAGGTAAACAGTTCCTGCAAATTGCCTGTGACAAGCTCATCCTTGCTAAAAGTAGCATTTAGAAACAGAAAAGCTTGTCAAAGGATGGTTGCTTTCATTTGTGCAGCCTGTCCTAGCCCCCACACCCTCCCCTGTTTGACACTTTCCAAGGCACACTGTGACAGCCAATTACATGCATTTTCAACACAACTGGCATGGATAGACAATGGTGACAGCATGAGCAGTGAAGCGGCATAGTTTTTAACTATGGAGGCCTGAAGTTGAGAAGCAAAATATAAGAGCTGCAAGTCAAAACTCCTGACCTTCCCTGTTAGCTTGAAATGGGAATGATGGATTGCTCAGTCCTCTGTGATGCCTTGTTAGTGGGACATAAAGCACTGTGGGTCGTCCCTGAAGCAGGCTGGTACTCACTGGTACATAGTACAAGCTATTTTTTTACCACAATTTTACTTTTTGGCGTACCCTGATTTTTTCATACACACTGGCACTTCTCACAACCTGCTGATACTCTTTTCTGCCCTCTCCATAAAAGGTTCTCTGGGCAATTCATAATGGCCCTAAATAAACTGCATTACCCAGGGGGTACAACATTTTGCTCACCTGTTCCTATTCTTTCCTGCCTGCTTTTCTTTGTTGGTGGCTAATCTATATAGTATTACATAAACTTTACAAAGTCTGGCTCTCAGTTGTGTCATCAGAGAGATTAAGACACAACAGAGCTTTAAATGTAAAATCCTACCCTCATTTCTGTGACACACATTCGAGAGAATGGAAATTATCCAGGGATTTTGGCAGGAACTAAGGGCAACTTTATCAAGTACCTTTTGTTGAAACATATTGAACATTTTGTAAAGTCCTTATGCTCATCACGTGAACCGACCTATTACAGACTGCATGGGGCAGGACTTAAAAAAAAGCTTGACGTGCTACAGCTACTTTTCCGATCTTGAGCAACATTGTTATGCATTAAATTGGTGTGATTATTGAAAAGTTAGTACTTTGCATTAACAAACTATAGATCAACTACCAATGTCAGGGGTGTTATTAGGATATTGAAACATTAAGGGCTTAGCCCAGCCCAGAAATCTTTGCATTTTCACCTGATAATTGCACCATTTTCTTGGCCCGGGTTAACGCAGTGTGGTGCTCTCGGGTGACCACAATTGAGGGCTCGCTGCAGTTATCTGACCACAGATTTACAAGGGGAAATTGTGGGGCGCTGTGGGCAGAGACATCCACTGCCCACATGAAACCTTGGATAGTTTCTTTCATTTACCACATGTCAAAACACAGGTAGAAATCTTGAAAGTAAATTATCAGTCCATATTGTAGATGATAAAATTATTTAAGTTTAGCAAGTAAAGCAGTCTACCAAAATTTGAAGATTTTTGTTAACTGTACTGAATTATATTAGGGATGACCCCGAATAGTCAGAGATTCAGTGCCTCAAAGGGCGGTGCCCGATTCGACTGTCAATCTCACAGCTGAGCAGTGAAACAAGGATCATGCCATTTTGGCTAAATGGGGGTGCTCAACGTCTAATTTTACATAGAACCACCAGTTTTCTCCCAATAAGTTAATATACAGCTAGCTAAAATATAAATATCAACATAAAATGCTGTAAAGAAAAATGTGAAAAGAAAACAGCTTTTAATAAATATTTTTAATGTGCGTGAAAAAATCCACAATTGTAACCCTAACCCTCAAGGTAGGGGGCATCAGTGCACATGTGTAGGCCCAGCGTGTATGTTGTGCGTGAGTGTGTTACAGAAGAGGAACTTGCTGTAGAGACGGAGCCTTAACTTCAACGGCGTTGTTCTGAGTTGTCCGCACTTCACGGGACGTTCGGATCATTTATCACCATTGATGAACCACACAAAGAATAGTATATCGTTTTTAAATATATATATTTTTAAATATTGATGAAAGATGAAGTTCACAGGTTTTTACCCAAAACTAAATGTTACTCAGGGCTTAAAGTTCTCCGGCGCTGTGCCAGAATTCCGGGGCGAGTTGTTTTTTGTATTCGACAATATATATAAATATGTCTGTGGAAAATATTCTTGCATATTTTTCAACTGTTGCATGTTAGGTGTGTGTGAAGTGCCAGTCTTCCTCTGCACAATTAGTGGCTCGGTGTCGGTGTATACCGAAAGAAAGGGGAGTGGCTCTTTCCGGTGATGTGGACACTCATTGGCTATTGTAGGCTGTGAACAGGGCATGGAAGTTTCTATTGGTTCAATTAAGGTGTCTCTCAAAAAGTCAACGTGTAGACGCCTTTTTTGTTTACATGCTAGCTGTTAGGCTAATATAAAGCGACGCAATAGCAGTCCGTGTGTATTTAGATAATTCTAGATCCCTCAAACTAGCAGAAAACATTGCAGAGTGGTCCTCCTCCTACCAGCTACCTCCATAGCTTTCTATGGAGGATGGCATAGACTGCACTAGGTCATTTTGCTCCTCCTAAAGGCTTGTTGGCTTATATGGGTCTCCAGTAAGCAGGCCAATGTCAAGGAAGCGTCTGGCCCACTGGATAGTGGACATAATCTCTCCCGATTTTGAGCATGTAGGTGCAGATTAAACTCCAGAGTTTGTGGCACACTCTACCCAAAGGTCGCTCCACTACTTGGGCTCTGTTTCGGGGTGTACTCAGAAAATACGTAATCAAGGTTTTAAGGTTTAATTTAATGGTCATTTTACAACACAAGGGTTTGTAGTCCCTTTGTGTTTCACACACACAAACAACATAAAGCAAAAATGTAACCAAAAACTATTCATTTTCATTGAGTGAGGGGAATGAGCTTAAGGTCTACCAGCCTGGGGAAAGAAGCTGCTCTGGAATCTGGTGGTAAGTTAGTGGATACTTTTGTATTTCCAGATCAAAGCAGGGTGAACAGGCTGTAGCTGGGGTGGGTATTGTATTTTAGTGTCCTTTAGCTCTGTGCAGGCACCTCACCTCACCAGTATTACTAATGTTCAGTAGATGGTTACCAATGATATTTTGGTTTTAATCATCTGTTGCACAGCTCTCTGGTCATGGGCTATGCACAAAACCATGCCAATATGCAACGTTTCCAGTTAGGATGCAGCTAGGCATCCTGATTGACCATCACCACATTTTATCCCGTTAAATGTTGCATCATCCTCATCTATCTCTTCATCTGTAGACTGCAGAAGATGCTTAGGCTTATCAATTTTATTAATTTTCCTTGTTCGTTTTCAGTTGTTGGTGCATTGTTTTTCTTCTGAGCAGCAGTGGCTGTTTGTTTCAATGCTAAAGGGAATTGGGTCTTCCCTCTGTATGTCTTTTGGCCTGTTTGGCCACATGTTGTACCACTTCATCCCCTCGTGACTACTTTGGTTTACTGCAACAGATTAGCCCTTCACAATGTTTTTAATGTTTTTCTTACTTACATTAAATTCTTTTAGAAATGTGATGAAGCTACTTTACATGTGCTCACTTTGGAAGCTGTAGTTGTGCTGCTGTTTAATTTTATTATGTTACATTGAGCGGTACCTCATTTGTAAGACAAAACCTAACCTAACAGAGTAAGGTTAATTTGATAGAAAGCTAAGTACTAGTAGTAGTAGTAGAGAAAGAGATCAATGAGTTTGAGGGCTGATCAGATACCAGCTTGTGAGCTCTGTGCCTATACAGATGTTGAGCATCCTCAATTCAGATCATGATTTATACCTCTGTGTAGTTTTCAGTATAATTTCCATAAATGCACATGCTGTCCAGTGAACTGTAAATGATGTTTAGCTACTGTACTGTACTGTATACCCTTCTGTGCTGTGTATTGTGTGGTTACATGTTATTTTATGCCTCTGTCGTATTACAATAATCGAAGGCCAGCAAAAGTACAGTTGATAATCTACTCTGAATTAGTAGTGATATATCCTATTTGACTCAGGGCTCATCATTTTTGTTTGTTTTTCCAGCTTTTTTACTGACCTATCAATTAAAAAAAGGGGTAGGGGTGGCAGATTAGTTTGATCTGCACACTGTTTACCGCTGAGCTGAACTGAAGTTCCACCACTAACAGAGAATGTGCATGTGATGTAAAGCAGGGGTGAAATACAAACAAAAGCATCTACTATTGTGCATTCACACGGAGAGAACCATGAAAATCAAAGACGTCCAACAAAGAGTCACAGACAGAAGGTCATACTGAAAAGAACTATGATAGGATTATTTCCAAAGAGCCATGTAAATCCCAAATCCTTCAAAAAAGAAGATCCATCTTCATAAGTTTAACATGACAATGAAATAAATAAATAACTAAAACTATACAAACTACACACTTTGTGTCAAATGCCCTCATACATAATCCTCACACTAACAGATGTGGTGTGGTGGTTTCAGTAAACAGGACTAGTGAAACCTGAAACATATACAGTAACAATCAAAGTGGAATTATACACTAGACATTATATATATTTTTGTTTTGTTCAGAATACAACAGCTACATCCATTCATAGCAGCTGTAGCTTTTGTTATGCCACTCTGTGGTGGCATAGTGATGTCGTATCTAGTGATATAGGATGTCAATGCACACTCTGTCTCCTAGTGAAAATGGGGAGAATAGATGAGTTGCTGATAACATTCCAGAGGCCCACAAAGTGAAGATATAAACAGACAAACAAAACAAAATTTTCACCTAGATTTTCTGTTATTCTTTTAGCGTTTTTGTTTGTTTGTTTTTATATAAAAAATAAACGATAATGAGACCTAGTTATGCTGTAACTAAAACATGTCTAATAAAAATGAAATCTTAAGCTAAAATCTTTTAAACATATTGTAAAGTTTAGAGGGAAATTGATATTTGCTCCAGGTGACATGATGCTGATGATCAATAAATGTCTTTATAAATGTCTTCTTAAACTTTAAAGGGAACAGCGACATTGAACGCTATCAAATGGCCAATAAGAAAATCCCTTTCAAATACGCCAGACCAGTAGAAGAGTGGCTACAAGAGAAAGGTAATTTCAAACAAACATGTTTCTATGCTTATGTGTGTTCACTATACTGATATAATGTGAAAAACCTCATCTGTACTTTTATAATGAGAAGAGTTCTCTGACCAAAGTTCTAACAAATCACCATTAATTCAAATGCATGTAACTTTATATGGATCTTAATTGTTTCTCACATAATGAATTAGATTTTAATGGGGGGGGGGGGGGGTTTACCCATTTTAAACAGTAACAAAAATTGAATATCGATAAGGTCTGTCAGTGTTGATATTGTGGTGATATTGTATAAACACATAAATGTATGGGAAACTGAGAACCTTATCTGGGCTAAGTGATAAATACCTAACTAACAAACAAACTAAATAACTGTTAATAAATAAACTAATAGATGTAATGTGTCTTTTAATTATGCAAGTGCAACAACAAGCACAAATTTATTACAATTTAGTACAAAGACAGTAGAAATAATTACTTTAAAAAAAAACTGTTCGCATTAATCTAACTATCCAGTCTACCATATTTTGCACTGTAAATGATGCAACAGCAGTTGAACCAAAATGCATGAAACCTCTCTATGAGCCTCAGTAATCTGATGTCTCTCCTACATAAAGTGTCCTGACCGACCATTTCTGTGGAGGTGTGTGTCGTTATTTTGTGGCAGCCTGGTGTCATTTGCTCGTGATCTAATCAAGGTCAACAGTGGGTGGCTATGCGTAATGGAACAACAGCACTTAATCCACATATCTCTCATGCGGCATGAACAATATATAGTGCTAGAAAACACATTTGTTTATAGATCAATGCAGACTGATTTAACCACATAAAATGTTATTTTTATGCAGATTTCAGTGCATCTACTGAGGAGAGAGTGTTTAATTCAAATTACTGATTTGCATTTTAACATTATTCTATTATTTGCTCATCTTGATAAAATCGCCAAATTGGCAATGGATGAGCGTTGCATCTATTCTATTCTCTCTTTGTCTCTTAATCTAACCGGTCAGACACGCAGAGCCTAGTTTATGCTCAAGGTTTTGGCCTGTTAAAAGGGAGTTCTTCCTAATTAAAATTAATTCTCAGTTCAATGTCTAAAACCCAATATCCACCAACTTGCCTCATTTGAATGAACCTCCCACGTGTTTGCCAATCGCCTCTCACCTGTGTACCATGTGCACTGTGCTGGGCACCAAAATACCACACAGATGGACAAAACTAATTTCTAAGTCCAAGTACAAAGTTCAAATACCAACCCATTGAAGCACTGCTTGTGCTGGTTGTTGTGCCACCACAAAATAAGGACCTATGTTTTGAATGTAAATGAATAGTGCAGCTAAAAAGGTGTGTTAGAAGGTGCTTTTCTGTGTTAAAAATATCATGATGTCTCTTGTAGGACGGCAGCTAACAATTTTCAACACTCAAGCAACAGTCGCAATTGGTGGCAGTGATCGTGGCCGGCCTTTTCAGGGGCAGCTGTCTGGCCTTTATTATAATGGCCTCAAGGTGTTGAACATGGCTGCTGAAGGCAACCCGAACATCAAGATTAATGGCAGTGTGAGGTTGGTAGGTGATGTGCCCAGTGTGGCAGGCTCAGCCAGGACCACAGCCATGTCTCCAGAGATGTCCACTACCTTTATTGAGACTACTACCATGATGTCCACCACTACCACACGGAAACACAGATCCTCTTCAACAGTGCAGGTATGGGTAGACTTCAATAATAACTATAAATACAGGGAATTGCACATGATAGAACACATGCTCATAATTAGCATGGAAGAAAATTGCATCAATAATTAGTGCAACCCAAAGTTTGAGAAAATCTTGTTGGACATGTTGGACATGTCATACAAGTTTACTCCAATCAGTAAAATGTCAGAAACCTGTAGGATGCATGTAGAACAGATGGTTTGAATTCATTGTAGTGTCAAGGATTCAAGTTTTTTGCGTTCTTCATTAGATTGCACAATGAAATGCAGTTGTAGCCCGCTCTATGCTACACACAAAAAAAATGTATGAACAGAGATTCAAATATAAATTTAAAAAAAAGAATATAAACAATCAAATAGGCAAACAAACAGGACAAACTATGTAAGAATAGCACTAAAGGACTTTATTACTTTATTAAAGGACTTGTTATAGTTGGAATGAGGACACTGGAAAGCTTTCCAGTGGCAATCCAATTGGAGACTTTTAATGTTAGGCAGCTGTGCAGAATGGTAGCACTGTTGTTTAATTTATATTTGTCATGTATGGCCTTTTACTTGTCAGGTTTGTTGCCAAAAAAACCTTAACCAAGGCCCAACTGCTAGCTATTTAGTATGATCTAATCATGACATCCCCTCCAACAACTGTGAGGAACCTCTTAAACCCCGGAAAATAGACTGAATGAACGTGTCTAACAATTGAAATTGAATGTAAGTAACATACTTAGGCATTCATATTTTGAAATCAGTCAAAGAGAGCAAATCCAGTCACGTTGCAAAGATTAAAAATAAGGTTGACATGTGGCTGATGAGGGAACTACCACTTATTCAAACACTGCATTTGAACCCTGGCTTCTTATTTACATACAACATATTTTTTCTTACCACAAATAATTTGGAATAACAAAAGTATCAAGTTATTTTTTTCTATGACAATTGAGTTTTTATGGTATCACAATTATTAATTAATTGTTTAATCGTCATGGTTTTGTATGACTTGATACAAACCAAATAAATTTGGGTGGGGGGACATCAAATGTCTGTGTACATAAGACCAAAACTAATCACAGCATGGACTGGGAAGAGGTCAAAGGTCAATCAGTGGAAGCCCGGAGAAACATTAAGGAGGAAATTCACATCAGACATCAGAAACCATCTTTGAACAGAGAAAGAAGTTACCATCTCCACCCATATATCAACACCTGTCAGCGGTGTAGCACAAAATTCTGGACCCTGTACGCATTTTCTATGGACATGAACGTCTGTACATTCTAGTATCTAGAGGGCCCTGTATGCTCAGTATACTTTTTAACGCCCAGTGCCACTGCCACCTGTTATCATGTGATTGAAGTTGCATACTTAGGTGGCGCGATTAGAACTGAGCAATCTCCATGACAACTGAGCAAATGAGGGACATTGTGAGACGCAGTTGAAAGCTCTAGAAAAAATGTATATAAGATCTTTTTGTCAAAATACTTTTTCCAAGGTCAAAATGAACTTTCATGCTCCCTTTCTAACTTGTTTTGTATATGTTCCCTTGTCTTTGTGTGTCTTCTTTGGTTTTTGCTGGTGGCTCTTTGTGTTTGGGTATCTTTGCGGTGGCTGTGACCTCTGATGACCAACGTTCTGCCCCTGAAGCATACGGCAGATGACATTGTGTCATCTGCAGAGTGTTCGAGTGATGACGAAGACCTGGAGGAGTGTGAAACTAGCCATGCAGGTGGGCTAGGTTAGTTTGCATTTGCTTGCTTTCTTTGTGCTTTCACTCATCTGCAGCAGAGGATCAACATATCCTCAAAGCATCACACCCCCATGGTTAGACAAAGTGTAACTTCAAAAAACAGCCAATGTAGTAACAGTTAGCATAGCAAGCTTCGCTACACATTACCAAATCCGAGGAAAGATGGGGTATTAAATGCAAAGTTCAAATTCAATTGAAAGTAGTTAAACTGGTACATCAGCCATACAGAATGTTCATTTACTATGTTGCTAGTTGATAACAGTTACACAGAAACCCATTAATCATGAGCTACACTTGCACATGGGGTCTTCCAAAGTGGTTAACATGGTCACCAATATGCATACAAATTTTGTCTGCTGAGAGGAATAATAAGGAAGAATAATAAGGAATAGTAGTTCATGTCATCACAAATGTGCAAAATGTGTATGATGGTGAACCATGTTCTCTGCACTGATGCTGCAAAATGTATCACATTGTGTTTGCATCCACTGCTCCTGCCATTCACTGCTCTACTGATTTTCATTTTGAAACAATACATTTTCACAGTCTTTGTTTTCTGCTAAGGGAGTGTGTTGTCTAGACTACAGTGATGTATTTTACTTTTTGTTTTTCCATACTTAGAGGCTTGCGTTGGTAGATGTAATAGAGAACAGATATCATTGAATTTCTGTGTACAAGTTTTTCTTTTCTTTAGGTCATACTTTTTGCTTATAGGTATACTTGTTATTCTGTCTTTTTTGTATCTAAATATTAAAAATTCTAAAAGGTTTAGGAATTGTTATAACTTAGCGAATCTGTTTGAAAGAATTTGGGAATTTCCATGTTTTAGCAACATTAATTTTTGCAGGAAACAGCAAGCAGCCATGTTATATATTTTATATGAAATACAACATAACCTTTCAAACTACTGCTTTTTTAAAATGAATTTAATTCATAATGTCCACCCAGAAAGCAAACAGAATGCCTTTAAGGGGCTGGTACATGTCCTCATATCTATATAATGGGACGACTCCCACAGACATATGACCGCTCCCCAAAACACCGACAGCTGTGACCTTAAACACATGGTTAATTTTCAAGTTCAAGTTCAAGTTTATTTATATAGCACATTTAAAAACAACACTAGTTGACCAAAGTGCTTTCCACAATAGACAACAAATATACATGACAACAGTAGAAAAAGTAAAAAAATAAAATAAATGTCACTACTCAACTCTGTTTGAAGGCCAATGAAACGGTTACAGTTTGGTTAGGTTTAGGAAAAGATCTTGGTTTTGCTTTTGTGAGTTGGCATAAGTGACATCACGTCACGCCCATCCTGCCCAACCACCCCCATATGCGCACTGATCTGGTAATAATTACTACGGCCACTAGAGGGAACCGCCTAACAATAACCGTAAATATGGGTCGTAATAACCTGCTTCCACAGACAACATATACGGCTGGTTTTCTGTTGAGTACTGTATTCATGTTAAAGACAAGATGTCCAATTCCTGTAAAAAAACAAACTTTCTGCTACTGTAAAACCACACACTCATCTCCTCTGTTGCTTACATTTTATATAAAACACTATAAAATCACTGTTAAAACAATAAAGGACTCAGACTGATAAACCTGCTTGTAATACATTGTCAGAAGACTTTCTATTAAGGCCCTATTCACCATAGAACCAGACTTTTGACACAGGAATATTTGCATCTTAAATGATGTAGAGCTATTTTGCAAATAAAAAGCTGGGTGAACTGAGTTTGGGTTGCACTACATGATATTTCACAAGAAAATACGTATTTTGCTTTATATCAAGCATTAACATCAGATTGTGATTTCTCTCAGGAGAAATGTTTGTAGTTGAGATCCTAATGATAACATTCAGACGCATGATTGGTGGGAATTTTAGTGCTGTTCTGCTGACCACCACTGGGTTATCCTTCTTGAAGGTCATTCCCAAATTTTTTCAAAGAGTATGTGAAAGGTTGTGGTGTACATGGGTTTAAAGCTGTGCTGTGTCGCCCAAGAGTCATGGGGATTTGTGAAGAAAGACAAAGACAGGGCCCCAGTCATCAAATCATGTGTTTACACAGAAATTCACACCATTCTAACCCTAACATCACTTTGACGTTGACAGTGGCATGCTTTTATTTTTTCCTTTGTTGTATCATTTTAGGAGTCAATGCTATTTCCAGTTTTGTTTTGTGTTTTCTAAATTTTATCGAGACATCATTCCCGTCTATTTGCCAATTATCCACAAACACATTTTTGTGTTTTGGCCTCATCATGTGTGGCATGACGTTTTGGTGGGTGATATTCTGGGGTACCATGCAGATTATAATGAAAACATCCCTATTTCTGTTTTCCAAGCAAATTAGAAGGCAAAAAAAAATATTTTCTTGCTATCACCTCTTTAACTCTGAGCAGGGAAAGTACCAGGGAAAGTACCATCTGTAAATAATGGCAGTTGTATTTGAAACTGTTTGAATACCTTTCTAATTTTTCAGTCAGTCCCTTTCCATTACCTACCAACTTCCTTCCTAATGCTATACTGCATTTGAACATATTTTAGTGTATGGCATAAAAATATTTTTTTTGCCACAAATTCCAGTATTTTCTTTTATTTTTCACTTCGCAATCATTGGTACCGTGGTTGAGTAAACTCTTCAAATCATTATCTTCAGGGTGACCTTTGATCATTTCTTTGCATGCTTTTTGATTGATCCTTGACCCCATGCCATTGTATTGAGACTCACTTGGTTGCTTTGTCTGCATTCGTGTTTAAGTTGGAAACCATTTTTGCGGTTGCAGTAACACTGAATGTCATCTCTCTCACCCCACACTGTCTTTACTTTGTCAGTGTGGCTGTTGTCTGTTTGGTTTTTCCGTATAAGTTATCAAAGTGATTCTGTTCTCTGTTGTAAATCTGTTGTGTTCTCCTTTCCTTTCAATTAATTTCATAAGATGGCAATTAAGAAGAGTTCTTAAATAGTTTATGCTTTAAACTGTACATAGATATTTATTGAGCAAGTAAACAGGTTCTAAACACTTGGAGACCATAGATATTTGGATTGATATAATATGATATTTGTACAAAAACATCCTATGGCCAGTGATTAATAATACAATTTCTTCCCACTAGCATCCAGGTTAATTTCTTTAAACTGATACACTCATAAATCTTTTAACCATATTTAATAAGACTCACAATACTGTTTTAAAATACACTGCCAAATAAAAGGTGGGAATATTGTCTAGACCCACTTCACCAGTTTCTTGATCAAAATTTATTCCTCCCAAATCATAATGCACATCCACAATCAGTCCAATCTTTTTTTCCCGATTAAGATCTCTGATCACAGTGAAATACCAAAACATTGTGTTAATAATGGTGACAATAAACAGAAATTTAAAGGATTTAATGGCCGTGAAAACATTGTTTTGTGGACCAATGACAAATAAAAACAAATAGCCTCAAAACAAATATGATGTGTATGAGATCAGACTGCTCGTCATAATCAAACTAATACTAAATTCCTTCAAACAGCTGTTCCAACAAGTGCACCATTATAAATAAAAAAACACCTTAATGACGTGTGGGAGAGAGACTGTTATGATTAGTGAGCCGGAACACCCAAAAGCAAGACATGAGCAATCAGGTTTATTCTCAATTACGGTGATCAAGGTAGACAGGGTGAGCTGGGCCGGCAGCAGGAAACCAACAAAGTCAGGCAGGAGTCAAACAATACAAGGAAAACACAAAACTAGAAATAGATATACCGCGAAGCATGAGGCCGCTAACCTATAAATTGTAAGCTGAACTGCTGATAGTCTTTATCACAACTGAATGAAAAATGAATAACAAAGAATAATTCTCAAATTATTAAGAAAGCACTATAATATTAAAAAAACAAAAACAAATGAAGCTCTATGATAAAAGTAAAAGTTATACTGTGGGTAAAGGTTAAGAGATAAAATAAATCATATTAAAATTAGTCTTTAAAAACTTGATAAAAATTGTTGTTTTACTCAAAAAACATGGAACACTGTTAACGAAATCATATGAAAAGTCAAAAGGTTTTCATTAAATCTGCTTTACAAACAAATGTGTTTATACACCACATGTGCTTGCGGTTTCACAGAACTTGTTTTTCACAGTGTTTTAAATCATAATTGGTGAATAGACCCTTTTTAAAAGACAATATTTCTCTGCAATGAATCATAAAATTACCTTTTTCTAAAGCATGTTTTTAAACATGTTTCTTGCCTTCTAGGCAACCACTGATCTCTGTTCCTTTTCAAATAGGCATAGAATAGTCAGATATGTGCCATCTTATGGAATTCCTCTCTGATTATATTTTTATCTACATGGTAAAACCATGTGGTTTGCATAAGGCAAAATATTGAATCATATGTCAAAAGACAGTATGAGGTTAAAGCTGGTATCGTAATACATGTCGTAATATTTTTCAGTCAATAAATGTTACATATTCTTCTGAGCAGTGGTGTACTGCAGCACTGTATCCACACAAGCTTTGTTTTTTTAGTCTAATCGTGAGTCTGACTGTAGGAAAGCTATTACACTGGGTAGCTGTTGTTCTGAGGGTACATTTTTATAGTGTTTTCTTTACTAAAGTGCTGATGTAAATGTAAAGCAAGTGCTACATATTCACTATATGCCTAGGTAAAAAAAACATTGTGTGGCATCAAGTTGAGTTTCACTGTTATTATTGGCTCTTACATCAGTGAGTCATTTTATTAATCTTCCTCTAGTATTAACATAGATGCCATTCTGACGACACACGACATGTCATGCAACAAATTCAACAGCTTATGTTTGAGCAAGTTTTACTTTGGCTGGTTAAAATAAAATGCAAGCTTTTAAACAGACTGCAGTTTCCATTTCCAACTGCCGTCTTTGGAACACACCTTTCACCACTGCACAGGGTGACAACACGTACAGTGTTACGGATATCAGCTTTAAGCTTGTCTTTTGACTCTTTATCATACTTGAATCCTAAATTAATTGCATTTCACATAGTACATGACAAAATATTGTTAATATATGTGTTGTGTTTTTATTTTGTTCCACTTCCCCTCTGCTATTGGTTAAACTTGAGCTGTGTCCCAATTGCATACTACACTCAAATTTTAACCAGGTTGTTTTTTCCTCTCTCGTTGGTATCAGGGGTGAGAGGGTGGGGGTATGCAGTGCGTTCATACTGGAAAACTGACAAGATGTATACTCAAACAGTTTGTCAGTTTGCATTCTGAATATACATTCTGAATTTATTTACTACAACTACTTGAGGGTGGTGATAATGGTTACTATTATGTTACAAAGCTATGGCCAATGGACATAGAAGAGAATTGGTTATAGCCTTACATAGTTGCAGTTTGACTGATGTCTGTCTGCACACATGTTGTATCAGCAGTATCACATGTTGTTTCGTGCCAGTACAAACTGTTACATTAATCGCACGTTTATAGTAAGGGATTGGGACACAGTGTCCGTCTCCTATTTTTCTAACATTAGTCTTACATGCCCCCCAGTTTGCTGTGTTGTTTCTTTTCTACTTTCCCTAAATGCAACTTACTTTAAGCATGCATCAACATCCTGCAGTACAACTAAAACAAAACCAAAAAATAATAACAACAAAAATAACCCATTCTCAGCCAGTACCGTCTCTCTCTGATGTACACCCAGACTGCACGGCCGGTTCATGTTTAAAGACTAACATTACAGATATATTTGTCATCAAGAAACACATGAGAGAGGAGCCCGTCCTCCAGTCGAGTGCCTCTCTCAACAGTGTCTGTTTTCTATTGTGTGCATCTGGTTGTAGTGTGTGCAAAATTTTAAATGACTTTGTTATTTCATCTTAACATTTTCATTTGATAGTTTTGACTGGTCATATTTTTTGTATTTATCCAATTGATCACTGGCATTTTGGTTCTGATTATGGTTTTTGGCTTATTAAGTATGTTTGGTTTGTTTTTTTTGTCAATCCGATAATATTTAGATCACAGTGTGAAATTTTTTTGATATAATTTGACTTTTTTGGATTTGGAACTATTTCAGTGACTAACTTGTGTGTCTTATTTCCTACAGTATGCCTTTCTGACAAATATTGAATTTAAAAGTAAAAGTTGCAACAAGAGTTGCACAATCAATGTTTCAGTTCCAGATCAACTTCTCACATATCTTCCTTTTTTTCAGATTTTTAAAAATCTATTTTGACAAAAGAAATTAATCTTTGCTAAATAATATTTTCACTGTAAGACAAAAAACAAATGAATTGCATGGCTAAGAAGTTGCAGTTTAGGGTTTGTCAGACTTGTCAGTGGTAGAGTTCTTCTGTTCTTTTCTGTAGATGGGCATGTATATTGCTCATTGTTTGTATATCCCCATCCCTTCCTTACAGCCAAAAGCTCTAATGCCGCCCGACCGCTTCGTACTGCCTTTACATGGACATGGCAACTGACTTACACTGTCACCCTCATCACCCTCATTTCCTATGTAGTATGTTCATAGGTCCCACCCCTTCTTCACCTTCTCCCTTGTCTTTAGATATATTAAAATATAAAGCCATCCATCCATTCTTCACTAAAAAAACAAATGACAATTTAAGCAAAAATTGTAACATGAATAGATTTTAGATACTATTGAAGTCTATTGCAATGAAAAAACATGTAGATACACATTTTTTTGTAAAAACAAATTATTTACCAGAAAAAACAAAACATAAAAAAAAACAGAATTATGGTGTTTATTTTTTATGTTATGTGGTGTGGATGTATGTGTTGTTGCCTCCCTGTACCGTCGTGTTTTAAGATAGAACACAATCTACAATGGATAAAAATGATCTTTAACGGTACCAAGCAGCTATCCAACATTCTTACACAACTTTTCCTTTGTAAATTCTTTTTTTCATGCCTAAATCATGCGGGCAATTTGTTGATGTAAGTTGAGTATATATACAGTATTTATCACTCTTTTTGAATATTTTTTTTTAAAGATGCAGTTTGTAAAATGCGAGGAGTGTAACATCTCAAAATGTTTATTCTTGTGTATATCACACTTTAAAACAAAGTCGCTAATGAACATGGTAGGTGTTACATGTAGCAATTTTAGCAATTTCACAACACTGTATTGTTTGAAGCTATGGGAAACAACAATCATTTTAAAATATGTAGGTGTTAGATCTGTTGGGGGACTCACAACCAATTCCTAACCGTTGTAAACTGTTGTCTAACAGTCAGTGGAGATCGTTTTCTCATATTGATTACTAATCCTTACGGGCCTTCCAAAGCTTTTAGGTTTTCGTGCATTGAACTTAATACTATTCGGCCACATATGCTTCAGTTGCTGATTTTGCAAACAATTCTCTTCTTTTTATTCCAAATAAACACAAAACAACACATGTGAACAGATTTGATCCAAGAAAAACCAACTGAATATAGGCTGACTCGCTATTGAGTATTTAGTAATAAGCTGTTTGAACACAATATGCTACATGTACTACCTTTAAGAAATGAGGACTACCTCAGAGACAATGTGATCATCTGTTTGTAAGCAGCATCTGGTAGTAAATGTTTGCAAACTGCATCTCTGATCAAGTTATATGACATTTCTTTGAGCCTGTTTTATTGTTTGAAATTATAGAATAAAATGGCCTGTGTCTTGTGTGCTTGTGAATGTACATGTTGGTGTTTGTGATAATTTGTGAGTCACATATCAGTTTGCTTTATTTAGAATTTAGAATGTGCATCAAAGAGTCAGTATGCACATACTTGATGTCAGTGCATACCTTCCATGTCAATGGCACTTTGAATGTTCACTCCAGTGACACCTGCTTGAGATCACATTTCCATGAGAAGTAAATCAAATGTTTTTGCACTTCTCCTAATAATAAATAAGTTTTTGGCATATATCAAACCTTGTTGTGCTGTTAAGCATTGATGGGAATAATGCAGAGGTCACAGAAAATAAATGTGGAAAGACTGAAGAGGTACGGCTGTAGCTTATTAATTTACAGTGTTAGAAATGTGGTAATTTAAAGATTTTTGTTATTACTGAATTGCAATATTCGGTAAGTTACTAAATCCAGCACCGACAAAGCCCATTCCAACGACTGTAAATCAGATACACCTCCATATTAACAAATACAGAAAAAACTTCACTGTTTAACAAGCAGCTAGTCTACAGTTTTACTGTACTAAAGTATTTACTGACCACCAACAGCTAGCTTTGCCACAGTGACCACGCTCAGGAAGACAAATGGAGTACGGTCAAGAATTGGCAAACTGATCAAGAAATAACTCTACCTGTTACAGTAATGTGTGTAAGGTGTTAACACATACGTCTTCAATGGTTTGTCAATTGTTGGTTGTCACAAAAGTACCAATATATAGATTTGTATTGTGTGCAGCAATTTAACTAACTGCACCTTCTGTGATAAATCCTTTTGCCGAGGTCCAAATTTAAACTGTTAAACCAACAATTTTCCAACAATGGTGGTAAACCAACAATATAACAGTAGCACCTTTCCATTATGGCAGATTCATTAAAATCATTAACTTCAGTTGGAATTGAATTGGTCTGATTTGATCTTTTGAGCTGTAATATTTAAGAGCATGTATGTATAAATTGATTTTGTCTTCCAGTGAGTAAGAGTCTAACTACAAAATGAAGCTGGAAAACACACATTGAATAAAAGTACATATTTCACTCAGGCTAGTACACAAAGGATGAGCATTCAGCTGACTTTGCTCTGCCATTGACATTGTATAATCTTAAAATCGAAGTTATAGTTACACTGCATTTTCTTGGTCACAGAGCTACTCTTTTGACAGAATCATTGTCAAATAAAGTAAATATGCAATGAAGTATATATTTTTTTTAATCTTGTCAAGAAACAGTAACGTGAAGCCAGTGAAAAAGCAAGACGAGAAAGATGTTCTTAATTGTTGTGTTAAAATGACAACACATGGCAATAAGGATGTTGATTGTAGCTGTATTTGGGTGCTTAATTATTCCAATGACGAATTTAAATATATAGGATGGAATGTGCATCCTATTTACCTATTTAATATCAGATTGACCAAACTTTTTTTTTTTGTATAAATAAATCATTGATTGGCATCCAGTTCATTGATGGAGGGTTTAAGTTTCTATCCACACTGCAATTTAACTGTAAGATTGATATCACTTTTACCTCCAGAACAGCTCTGCATCTGAGAAATGTTTGTAGAACTATAACTACAATTTTCTGTATTACTATGAAAAAGCAAGAGGTTTAAGATGATCGGAGAGTCATTGTGCAGTGACATTGCTGTCTTTTTATTATGATCGCAATCAATAGTTTGGGTAATGCATTTTATTGTATCTAAATAAATGCTTTTGCAGGTGAAGTGAAATGAAAAGCATTTTTTGCTATTGGAAGTTTTCCTTATAATTCAGTAAAGGAGGAAAATGAAATAACTATAGTATATTTTGATTGTAAGTACTCTGCTGAATACAGTTTCCTTTATTTGTATTTAGTATATAAAGTTTATTAGTTTATATTTGAAGATTGTACTTTCCCTTAACAATCTCTTAAGATGTTGAGAAAGAACAAAGTATACACAACTATACTGAGAACATTGCACAAAGCAACTTCAATTTTCTGGCTCATCCTTGCACACCTCTTAAGCCTTTTGAAATGTATATCAGAAATATAAAATAGCCTATATCTTAATTTAGTTTAATCTTAAAGTCCAGTCTTAAATTGATATGTGATATGTTTATTATCTTATTATAAATTTTGGTCAAATCATTGCCTGTTTTTTTTTTTTTTTAAGATTTATCTAATTTAGTATATTTTATAAAACTCCCATTCTGCCCTCTAACATTACTACCTGTCTGTCTCCAACCCCAGGAGCTGAGTTAGTCATCCCAGTACTTGAGGATCCATTAGCGCACCCCTCTGTAGCTCCTCGTGCACCCTTCATTCCCACTCCCTCAACCCACCACCCACTCCTCACCATTATTGAGACCACCAAAGAGTCCCTGTCCAAGGCCACTGAGGCGGGGGTACCTTGCTTGTTGGACCGAGGCAGCGATGATTGTGATGATGATGGCTTGGTGATATCGGGGTATGGCTCTGGGGAAGCGTTCAAGTCTTACCTGCCCTCTACTGATGATGAAGATTTTTACACGACCTTCTCCTTGGTAACAGATAAGACCTTGTCCACGTCAGGCTTTGAAGGTGGCTACAAAGCTCATGCGCCCAAGACTTTTAGACCTAACAAACCTTCATTCTCCAGACGCAGTAGGACTACCACTACCGCCATACCACTAACCGCCGACCAGAGCCGCACCACCGCCACCTCTGCCTCCACCGCAACCCTCCACAATGCTCCGGCCATACAGCCGGCTGGCAAAATGAATAACCGCGAGCTAAAACCCCAGCCCGACCTAGTGTTGCTCCCATTGCCCACATCCTTTGAAGTAGACAGCACCAAGCTGAGGGGCCCATTAATAACCTCCCCAATGTTCCGTAATATACCCACAGCACTCCCCACAGAGCCGGGCGTGAGGCGAGTTCCAGGGCCCTCGGAAGTGGTCCGTGAATCTAGCAGCACCACCGGGATGGTCATCGGAATAGTGGCGGCCGCTGCCCTGTGCATCCTCATCCTTCTGTATGCCATGTATAAGTACAGGAACAGGGATGAAGGCTCCTACCAGGTGGACGAGAGCAGGAACTACATAACCAACTCAGCTGTGCAGAGCAATGGCGCTGTTATGAAGGACAAACAGCAGAGCTTGAAAGGCAGCAACAAGAAACAAAAAAATAAGGATAAGGAGTATTATGTGTGACTGTGAGACTTTCATGAACATGAGACAGTGAAGAAAGAAAGCACTGAGAGAACATTTACTTATCAGTTTCCTTGTGAGGAGCTATGACAAATGATGGTAAACGTGGAACTTGAATAATCTTATACTGTGCTGAGTAGTTGAACTGATGACATGTACTGTAATATAAAGCACACTTACTATTGTAAGCATAATGACAAGGCTAAATAGCAACTTTAGAGACCTTACTCTTCTATCTGGTCAGAGACGTTATCAGTATAGAAATATTTCACAGCTACATCATTCTCCTAAGTGACTTTTAGAGCTATGTGATCCTTGGCATTAAACAAAAAACTTTTTTGTAAAATTGTTAATTACAAAGGCTCATAATCTTATACATTTTCAGCATGTAAGCAACATGTAGTGCTTAACAAGAGGGGGATAGGCACACCATCATTGTAAAACTAAAAAAGGACTCTTGTACAATATGACACATTTTTATGGTTTATACATAATAGAAATGTGGTGTCTAACTTATTTTTGCTTTAAACAAAAGTAAAAAATGACAAAAAGAAGAGCAAGAAAAGAAAAATATTTCTGTGTATTAAATGGCACCAAGTGAGCAAAATGCCATGGGCAGATCTCATAGAATCTGTTCACTCTGGCATCTGATTCACCACAGTTATTCTCATTGTCTGACAGACAATGAATCACTTTGTGGAAAGACGTGGCTGGTTCTCTTGATAACAAGCGACTGATTGTAAAATGCATGCCATCCTAATTCTACCGTAAAGTACAGTACAGTAAAAGTCCAGTATACAGTATTCAACTTGGACCATGTTCTCTTTGATGCCAAACAGTTCTTCATCTTCAGATCAGAACTTAGCCCCTCTCATCTTCTTGAACCCCTCTAAAATGTTATCCATGAAAAAAAAAACTATCTCTTAAAGAAAAGGTCTATTATTGATGCACAGACAGTGGTGGTTTTATCTTTTTGCAAAACTGTATGTTGGTTCATTGCCTATCGTTCTCTTTTTCTATGGAGGTGTCAGGAAGCAGTAACACTGTTAACAAATGTGTATACAGAAATAAATCAAATGTTGAAGTGTGAATTCTATCTGCTGTCACAGTCAACTGTGTCAAAAAACAAGAAATTTGTTTACATATTTTAATACATGCTAGCTGTTGTACTTTGTAGGTAGGTAATTGTACATATACCATGACAGTTGTAATTTTTAGTACCTCTATTGTACAGACTGAAAATATGGTTTATCAGCGTATTTCATGACAAAAATCTATTTACTGTTGATTTACATGGAGAAAAACTTTAATCAGAATGTGGAGAATCATATTGATATTTCATAAAGAATAAAAATATATTGTTAGCCTAGAGATCTAACCAGAGATGTTTCTAAAGTTGCATGAATATTTAACTACTTGCAGTTGTCCAACAAATACAAGGTGCCCTTCCTTCTGTATCATGGCTTTCTTGTTCTGGGTTACACTAGTGTTATTTCGTTTTGAAAGAGAATAAAGTCTGAATTATGACAAAGACAGAAAACACAAGAGGCTATAATGGATGGGGGTTCATAGTATAAAATAGCTAAAATGGTGTTTTTTAGTCACCCTAAGTAACCTCAAACCATTGTCTTGTCACATCTTTATCATAAGTTAACATTTTGACAATATTTTACTGTCCATTTTACGTTTCCATTATCTGCCATAGTCATTTTAATGCTGTGGAGGTGCAGTGTTTTTCTTGCCTGAATTTCAGTTTTTTTGTGTTATAATAGTTACTTTTCATAACCTTTTTTTCATCAGTTTGATAACAAATAAAACTTTCTTTTTTTCTCTGAAATTATACTGTAGTCTTTGGATAAATCCAATTGTGAAATCACTTTTAGCAATATTATACCACTTTAATATTTGCTGTAATGCTCAGCATAGATCATTGTAGACTCACCACGCAAGAGAAAATTAGGCAGCTTTGACTTAGTTATAAAGTTCAATATTAATGACAAAATAAGCAACAATCAACGTTTCGCTAATCTCCTTCATCAGGTGTGGTTTGATCAGATTTCACTAACAGCGCCCTGGCACATTGAGCAAACAACCTCACAACTGTCCTCAGGTTTTAAAGGAGACCTATTGTACTACCTATTTCCAGTCCTATGTTGTAGTTCTGTGACTTATTTATAGCAGCTTTGCATGATTCAAAGTTCAAAATACTTTATTATATTATATACTATACTATACTATATTATTTAAATTATACTGGCTCTTCATGTAGGCCTTCATTTCAGTGTATGTCTGAAACAAGCTTTAGATGCTCCTGTCACTTTAAGTCCCCTCACTGTCTTCTGATTGGCCAAGACCTGAAGCATATTACCAGGCTGTTGTTGTCCCTAAGCGGTACAGACAGACTGAGCGTTGCTGTGTGGAGCAAATGACTGTACAGTATATGGAACACCAATATAATATAATACAATATACACCAGCTCCGTGTAGCTCCGTGTGTCGTAGAACGGAGCCGTTGGTAGAAAACAGTATTCAGAACAGGAGGAAAATGAGGTTTTTGCTCACAGAGATTTCTAACCTCATTATTTTATGCTTTGGTCATGTTTAACATGAACATCCAACATTGTAACATTGTAGATAAATCATAAAATATGGAAAATTGTAATAGGTCTCCTTTAATTCAAATGATGCTCAATTCTTATTGATGCACGAAAGTATGTGACATCAACAATTTCCAACCAGAAAGCTTTGTCTACATTTCGGATGGTGTAGTGCTGAGGAGGAATTAAGACGCTGATCTGCAGTCTGGTGGTACCACAGCAGACACTTCTCTTTCTCTTTTAAGACGACAGCAGGTGAACAGGCAATGGCTGGGGTGGATGTTGTATTTTAGTATCCTTTGGCCTCTGCGCAGGCACCTCACCTCACTGCTATCACTGTTGCTCGGTAGATAGAACCAATGTTGTTTCGATCTGTTGTAATCACCTGCTGCGGAGCCCTAATGACCTGGGCCGTGCACCTCCCATGCCAAGTGGTGAGGGTGCTCCTTTGTAAAATTTAATAAGAACTTGGCACAGGAATTTTGCCATCTTAACTTTCCTTACAGCCTTTCCATCATGAATTCATTGGAAAATGTAATGTACAACTAAATCAAAGAGACAGCCATTTATTTTCTGATACTCATCCAGAGCCAGGTGACACCAGCAACAGGAAACATATGGCCACTGGAAGAGCCTGCATCACGTTCCGGACCCACCATGCCTCGGTGGCATCAAACGTCTATTCTTATTCTTATTCTAAATATCCAGTATGGTTTAGAATTGGTTTGCTGAATTTATTTGTGTTTCACAAGCATCATGATTGCATATTTGCAGCTCATTTATTATCAGTGTGATAACAGGTCCAATTTTCTTCAAGGTTCTCTGATATTTTAAATGCATTTCACATCATGTAATTATAATCAGGTGAAAACAGGTGGTTATATAATGGAGGAGATTGTTTCCCATTTCTGTTCAAAAATGCTGAATGGCCCCTCCTCACTGAGATGGGTGCCATATGTAGGAGGGTCCAACCTGATGTTACTGATGTGTTACATGAAGCTGCTGATCCTGGAGCAGTACGCTTTAGTGAAAGTGTCATACACATACTGGTACCATTACAGTGGCGTAGAGGCCATTGGCAGAGGAATCTGCTCAAAATGTTCCATCTACATATTACCTACATCAGGAGATAGTGTATATAATAAAAGATGTGAAATAATTGACCAAAAATATCTTACTTTGGTGCAGCAAGGATATTGTACAATGTCAAGATTACCACCTTGCTCATCTGATCACCATCGTTGCTTACAGTTTGTGTGTGTGGGTGGGTGGTGAGGTGGATGACCTAGTTGTTATTAAAAAACTCAACATGGTGGTTCTTTGATTGTGTCTGGAAACCAGACAGGAAGATGAATCCATGCAAAGCCTGATACAGGTAAGTAGAAGTTTTTACTAGTGGACTGCTTGTAGTTCAGTGCCATTCATCCCAAGACATCATCTGACAAATAGCTCCTGTGTGGTTGTCCTATGTTAAAAAGTGGTCATCCATCATGATGTCGCCTAGTAAGTTTCACTAGTTAGTCACCTAACGTTAAAGGTTCAGTGTGTATGTGTAATATTTAGGAGCAGTGTATAAGACCTTACATAATGAACCAATACGTTTTTTTAATCTTAGAATGAGCCATTTCTATCTACATACACCGCGGGTCCTCTTAGATAGACATTACTGTGTTGCGCTGCCATTTTCTACTGTAGCCTGATTGGACAGAGTGTGTTTCATCACTGCATTGAATACATACAAAGAAGAAGCACAAGTAACGTTAGTTGTAGCATTGTAGTAGTCGACTGGTTTATTAGAAGTAAGAAAAAAATAAAAATTTGGACAAATGGAGGCCCACACAGGCCATCAGAGCGTGTCGGCCACCGTCGCTTCTCCTGCTCGCTTGGAAAGAGAGGGGTGAGTGGTGACTCATTAATGTTTTGTGGAAATAATCAGATTCTTTTTCTCCTTAAGTATTTATTGCAAAAAGAGAAATGAAGTGTACATGGGGCATAAAGGGGTATACAGAACTTTGATTTGTGTCAAATTACGTATTGCATATACATATTTTGCAAACATGTAATTTGTAATATGGTTATAACCAGGACACGATTTGCCGGGGGGGATGTGTGGGATTTCCCCCTTTCTGGTTTATATATCCATGCCTCTCCTGAATTATTTTTCTCCCCAGTGGGGACAAAATTTATCCCCCCCATAGAGTGATCAATGCTACTTCACTAGTGATGCAACAGATCACAAAACTCACGGTTCAGATCAACCCAGCTGCCTCTCTTTGTAGGAAATCACCACTCAGGGGCCTCATTTATAAACAGTACGTACGCTCAAAACAGGGCTGGAAAAATGCATACAATACTTTCCATCTATAAAAAACAAACTTGATGGGAGAATTTGCGGTCCTCCATGTAAACTCTGAACCATGCGTACGCACATGAACTGGGGAAATGAGAAACGGCTTACATGGCAGAAGGATGAAACTGTTTGAAATCCTTCTGCCATCATATTCTTCTGCTAAAATGAATCATTTATTCATTTTAGCTGATGCTCTTATCCAAAGCAACTTACAATTGCTGTTTATGTCAGAGGTTGCAGCAAGTGACTTGCTCAGGGACACATTGGTGGATGTGTCACAGCGGGGAATTGAACTTGAGTCTCTCACACCAAAGGCATGCATCTTATCCACTGCACCATCACCATCCCATTGCATCTCAGTATTATAGGCTTAAAGCCACCTGTTTGAGTGATGTTCCCTGAAGTGCACAAAAAAAACAGATTTAGGATGATAAACACAAACGTAGATATCTGTTTCTGCAGAAGAACACCTCAAATATGTTGTACAGTTTAATTGGGAATCATATTAATTAATAGGCTACTTGCATGTAGTGCAATTTATTCTCATAAATTAAGTGACCACCACCCCTCATTTTAAGACCACCACTTCCATAGGTGCACAAATGGGTTCAAGTGAATTTACTATTTAAACAACGTGAGCACTAGGCAACAAAATGTCAACTGAGTCAGTTAGACACTAGCAAGAACACTTATCCTGCTCTTTGTGCGGGTGAAAGATAGGGCCCTTTCCTTTGTGCACCAGAGGAAAGCAGGCACCGGAGCTCAACCCATTTGATGAGCGATCTGCAAGAATGTGAACCCCTCCTGAGTAGTGACGGAGGTAAAGGGGGACATATACACACACACACTGGATGATCTAGGTCCATAATTTTTATTCCGTCGGTTGAAAAGAGAATAAACCAATTGCATTCCACTTATGTTATTTACACAAACAGTCCACTTAATTAACAAGGTTGTTAAAAGAAATATAACTTGTTTTATGTGACACAGAAAGATCTACTTAATAAATAATGTTATATTTTTCAATACCAGGTTTTTCTCAAGCAACGCATCATAGAGGCGCACAGCGTGTGGATAAGGCAACTGGGAATAAGGCAACAAATATGTGATAACAATATATGAAACTATGCACTTGTATGATCAACATCATCAATTAAATCAGCATCAATTAAAATTGTAATTTGTTCTACTGTTCAAATTATATGAAGTTAATTTGTTAATTTAGGTTCAGGAGTGGGGCCATGCCTCAACCACACCTCTAATCACCTGTCAAGCGTTTCTATACCCGTGCTAGTCAGCCAGCCCCGTTTTGCCTCAGATTGCTCGACCCACCCTTTCTTTCCCTGCCGTTCATCCATTCACCTTCCCCCCTCTCCCCCCCTCCCCTCTTCCCTCACTCCCTCATCCCTTCATCCCCTCATCCCTTCCTATTCAACCCATTGCACACCTCTCTCGTGTCTCATCTACAGTATCTCACAAAAGTGAGATATTTGCTACAATGTAAAGTAGTGAGTGAGCAGCTTTTATAACGTAAAGTACATTTAAACAAAGTTTTCTGTCCCCTCAAAATAACACATCATACAGCCATTAATGTCTAAACTGCTGGAAACAAAAGTGAGTACACCCCTAAGTGAAAATGTCCATGAGCAACAGAATTGGCACCAAAGCTCTTGTTTGATGCATCAGAAGTTAAGTGTGACCTTTGGGAAACAAGATTCCTACGCTGCTTCCACATTAAAGGAGACTATCTTACATGAGCCTATCGGCACTAGTGAACAACAGCTAGCTGAAGACAGAGAGAAGAATGCTGATTGCTATGCTGAATTAATAAGACTGATGGATGATA